ACTTCTTAGAAAATAAGTTAGCCTCACAGCTTTATCCTGTCATATTTTTGTCTAATTCTCATGCAGTCTGAAAGGGAAAATAGCCATCTCAAAATATTCTAGAACAGGGGTGTCAAACTCGATTTCATTGAGAGCCTCATCAGGGTTGTGTTTTATCTTGGGGGACGGGGGGGCATGGCCAGCTTGACATCACTTATGTTGGGAGTGCCTGTGGTGGCCCAAGCGCTCTGTCAGTGAAAACGGGCTCCCAAGATCCATTTTCAGCTGTAACGGCCTCCTTCAACCCTCTGTCAGTGAAAACGGGCTCCCAAGATCCATTTTCAGCTGTGACGGCCTCCTTCAACCCTCTGTCAATGAAAATGGGCTCCCAAGCTCCATTTCCAGGTGCAACAGCCTCCTCCAACCCTCTGTCAGTGAAAAAGGAGCATGACCCTCCCGAGCTCTGTTTTCACTGACAGGGTTGGGGGAGCCATCTCAGTCAAAAATGGAGCTTGGGAGTCCATTGTCTCTGGCAAAGGCACCACAGGCCGGTCCTTTGCTGTTTCCAGGGCAGCCTCACAGGCCAGATCTAAGTACCCCGTAGGCCTGATCCAGCCTCCAGGCCTTGAGTTTGACACCCCTGATCTAGAAGAAAGGCTGCAGCCTAAGAAAAAGAAATCTCAATCCAATACTTAAAGAGTGCTTGAGCATAAGCAGAATGTATTTCTGGCAGGAAATCGCACGAAGGAATATATTCTACAAATAAAAGTTCATCTTCTAACTGCATGGGAGATTTTTCTTCCTTATTTTCTAGCACCAAGACCACACAAAACCTCACAATTCTCATTAGGGTACTTAAGAAGGTCAAAATCAATGGACAAACCTCACATCCCTAACTATTACAACATCAGCACTACACCAAACGGTGCACTTGGCTAAGAATGCTGGCTAATCCCAGATTAATTAAAATGGGGCTGCAAAGTCCCAATTGCGTTTAGGAAGAGAAAAAAAGGATCAGACAAGCAATGTACAAAGTCAATTGCAAGCAGCGTGGCTAATTTCAAAGACTTGGGAGCTCTGGAGCAGCATAAATCCAAGCAACTTTTTTCAATAGGCTCATAAAACAGAATATCATTGCCATTCCGCTCACGGCTTTTGACTTCTTTTTACTGCATGCAGATCATTAGGAAACTTTTAAGCAATCAAGTAATGTGAGTCTCATAAAATTATTCAATCAATGCATAGACTCAAGAAAGCACAGCAGGCAGAACTAGAGTGTCAATAAGGTTTTTTCCCTTTCCCTTCTTCACAAAAATCTCCCCTCATGTGAATCAAAAGCCCAACAGGCTTAATAAAGGGATTTTTCCACCACAACTGCAGGAATGTGTGAACCATTTCTTTTCTGATATTTAGAGAAATCCAATCAACAACACGTTTATTCAAAAAAAAAAAAAATGCAATAGCATTCACATGCTACTCTGATTAAGGTTAATGTGTACAAAAAGTAATTCTCTATATTTTGCCTAATATCAACGCCCGCCCCCCCCCATCAATAAATTAATCACAGTCTCAGTATCCTTCACTGCTACAGAAGTATGATAAGATGGACATTTAAATGGATACCTAAAATATTTTATATGCAGCTAATAAATCAACTATTGCTAAAGGGGGAAAGGATAACTATATGGATGAATTCTTAAATATACACCAATATTTTGCCTCTTGTTATTACTATTATAGAATATTGTAAAGGATAGAATGGGAGAAGAAAGTAGGTAAACATATTGACTAATTCCTCAATATATCCTTGTATTTTATCTCTTGTTATTACTAGTATGCAACATTACACAGTGCAGAATAGGAAAAAAAATAGGAAATTATTCACTCTTTCCATTTTTAGAACCCAAACCTCTGTAATACCTGTTATTCACATCTTCTTGTCCAGAATGCTGAACATTCCTTTCTTCGCTTCCTTTGAAAAGTTTTATTTAGAAAACAATTTCCAACTTATTTAAAGAAAGGCCCTCTTCTGAAATGTAAAATGAACAAACACAGGTTTTCATTGTTCTTGCTTCAGTGGGTTTTTGTAAGACAGGTGTTTGCATTTATGCAGCAGATGTACAACCACGGAAAGACAGAGTCTGATCTTGTAATATTTTCAGAATTGAAGCTTGAAGTGAGGGGGAAAATGAAACTCACTGTACTTTTTTTTGTGGGGGAGGGGAACTAGAGAGATTAGTTATTAACCCAAATTTAAATGAAAGTGCTACTTATTTCAGACTAGCTATTTCCCATAACCTGAGAGGTGGGGAAGAACGCTACGGATGACAATTATCTAATTGCCAGCTTCATGGCAACAAAGTCACTACCTTGTCAAATGTGCCACCTGACCTGTCAAGCCAAATTCTCTTTCCAAATTGTTCTGGTTCTCTCCTATCTCCCCTTTCTAAGCATATATATATACATACATACATACATACATATCCTGGTGCTGCTGATTGAAAGGAACCATGAACATATATCGATTAAAACAAACAAAAACAGCTAAATTATCTGCAGGAATGTATTTGCCAGTTATAAATAATTAACAGGCACCCAGTCAACATAAATAGCGATTACCATAAAGAGAGGGGGGAGAGAGAAGGGGCCGTTTGATGTGAAACCACAGCGCAACAGTGCATGCCACTGTTTGCTTAGTGAAAAGGAAGAAGCGTCCTGGTGCCCAGAGTTGTCGGTTCACAAACAAACTATTCATCGGTGAAAATTCATTGTCCGGGCACCCGGGAATTTGTCTCTAACCTTTCTCCAAGAGATTCTACTTTGCTGTAAACAAAGCATCTCCCCACCAAAGCAGCACCCCACCCCCCCCCCAGCAAGTTTTAGATTTCAGCTGGAAAATGAGAATTTAATAATAGATCGTGAATGGTTTGAATTCTATGGGAAGTCAGCTAACCATTCATTCATAAAAGGACAGCTCAGGCGAGGAAGGGGGTGCTTGTTAACATCAAGAACCACGGTGGAGCTCCAGAAACTGTAGACTTATATCTACCTACTGTAGGCAAGAAGTCAGGGTTTCTCAGCTCCAATCATCTTGGTTGAAGCACTGTATTATACTGTACAGCCCAGGACTGGCAGATAACGTTTTCCAAAGGGGGGCGGGAATCACTTAAGCTAGAAAGCCCCAATAGACTCCAAGTTGGAAGGAAGCGAATGGAGTTGGCCATTAGCTGTGGCACAAGGGACCATGGTCCCTGTTTGTCGAGTGGGAAGGAGGGAGACTTTAACTCAGCTGGACCAGCTTCACCATTGGAGCCTTCCCAGCCAGTCAGCAAATGGAGCTGGACCTTTTCTTATCCCACCCCAGGTGATTCTTTAGTTCCTATTAGCACAGCTCTTGCCTGTCCTTGGAATCTCTTCTATCAACTGAACACACAGAAGAGAAGTGGTACCTGAACCCCCCACCAAGTCACCATCATCTCTTCTGGACAGGGAGATGTATTTACACACAGATGGTGAACTAGGAAGGCTGAGGTTTCTCTCTCTCTCTCTCTCTCTCAGCATCTCTATCTTTCCAATTCTTTCTCTCCCTCTTTCTCAGCATCTCTATCTCCCCCTCTCCCCCCTCAGCCTCTCTCTTTCTTTCTCTTTCTCTCTCTCCCTCTCTCTCTCACCAACTCTATCTCTCCCTCTAACTCTTTCTCTCCCTCCCTCTCAGCATCTCTCCCTCTCTCTCTCTCTCTCTCTCTTGCTTTCTCTCCGACCACTGGCAAAGGAAAACTCCGAGCTGAGCTCGCTGCGGACAGCTCTGTGAATCATAATCAACACCCCCGCCCCTCGCCGCCGCCAATCTCCTCTCCGTGCGTTTAAGTCCCCCGTGTGGACGTCAATGTTGCTGCCAATAGGTGGGGCCCACAGCAGCTGGATGGGAGATTCGGGGTGGTGGTGGTTGTCCTTTAACCCTTGCCGAGCTGCCCCCCGGCTCTATTTCTCTGGAGGCGGGTGCTGGTGGGGGGAAGGCTGAGAAGGAAGCTGCCACGCGCGGCTTTCCCCTACTATCTTTGCTACCCTGCTTCCTCCAGCGGCTCAATTATCCAGGGTTGAACTCGGGGAGCCCACCTTAAAAACTGCTCGTTCTACGACCTTCCAAATGATTGACAAGGAACTGGAGGGGGGGGGGGGATGCCGAGGCTGCCACTGCCGGAGAGAGGTTAAAAACAAATCCTTAAAAAAAAAATCAGTCGGGCAAAATGGAAAAGCAATCACGTTGCCAAACCACCAGTTCCTCTATATGGAAAGGGGGTGCGGGGGGGGGTGAGGAGGGGGGTGCGGCAGCAACGTGGCTTGTGTGTGTGTGTGTGCGCGCGCGCGCGCGCGCGTTGGTGTGCGAGGTGTGTGTGTGTGTGTGTGTGTGTGTGTGTGTGTGTGTGTGTGGCGCGCGCGCGCGCTCCGGGAAGGCTGGGGATCGCGTATGCCAACCAAGGGATCCTTCGGCTGGCTCTCTCCACCCACCCAACCCGGACTCAAGGGCGCTGCTATGGCAGCGGTGGAAGCCGGGGAGCCACATATAACCTCCGCCGACCGAGGGAGAGAAAACTCCTTTTTCAAGGTTTCGCGGTACGGGGAGAAGCAAAACTCCGGCGGTTTGCCCTGATTTTCCCACCCATCCTTTGGAGAGAGCAAGAGAGACAGAGAGAAGCGAGAGCGCAAAAACCCTTCTCCCCACCTCACAAAAAAAACCACCTCCAGTCTCTCCCCACCCCCACCCCCCAACGCCCAATCCAGTTTTCGCAGAGGCTTGAGCTTCCTTGGCACCAACTCCTCTCCGCTGGTGCTTTTTCTTTTTTGACCCCGGCACAAACGGCGATGCCCAAAGGACCGTCCGGCTTATTTCAAAGAGCTCCCCGACTGCGGAGAGCAGCTTTCCCACGGAAGCGCAAAAGAAGCCGCGAAGTCTACGTACAAGGCAAAGCTTTTTAAAAAAGCGAGCGAGCCTCGCGCTTTTGTCGCCTCTCGCGCCTTACCGATGTGGATGATGGAATCCGCCCGCGCCGCTTCCCAGGTTCGAGTCCAACACACGGACAGGAGCAAAGCCAAGACCAAAACTTCCATCTCCTGCGCTTTCGGGAAGACCCAAGTAGAGGAGAGCAAGACGGGAGAGGGTTAGCCAAAAACCCAGCGCCGAGGGCGAGAATTTTTTTTTTTTTTTTTTTTAAAGGAGCCAAAGCCACAAGATTGGAGAAGAGGGTGGGGGAGAGAGAGAGAGTGTGTGAGTGAGTTGGGGGAGTTTAGAGCAAAAAGCCTTTCCGGAAGAGCCTCCTAGCTGGGGGGGCGAAGAGGAAAGACCCCGTCCAGCTTGCCGGGGAAGCCTCTGGCTCGGCTCCTGGCGGCGTCACTTCGGGGGGCGGCCGGGCATCACCAGAGTTGCGGGGAGTTGCTGCAGCAAATCCATTCAGCGTCCCCCGCCGGAGATGTCGGGCCAGCAGCTTGGCGCGCCTCGGTCTTCTTCATCGCGGCATCCTCATCATCCAGCCTTGCTCGTTTTCGCCGTTAAAAAAACACACACAAAAAGCTTCGTTTTAGGAATGGAGCGGGGGGGGAGGAAGCAGGCATGGAGAACCGGGAATCGTTTTTTTTTTCCTTTTGGCGGCCAGCCGCACCGCCCGCTCCTGCCGACCAATCCGGCGGAACAACTTGCAAGCCGTCAACCGACCAACCATGCCAGTCGTTGCCCCCACCCCCACCCCGCCCCGGCCACCCTGTCCCCCCACCTCACAAGAGAGGGGGGGAGGGAAAAGGGATGGATTTGTTGTTGTTGTTGTTGTTGTTGTTTGTTGTTGTTTTTCCCCTCCCGAAGCAAGAAGTAGCTTTCCTTTCAAATCTCCAGGCAACTGGCCGGATCCCTGCAAAGTGTGTGCAGAAAGAGAGAGCACGCTGCGTTCCGACCCCTTCCCTTCCCCCCCCCCGCCCCCCGCGGGGGTGGGAGAGAAAAAACAAAAACACACCCTCAAATCCTAAAAGTGAACTTCAAAGCAATGCAGTTAAGAATGCAGAACTTTCTCGCCCTTGCAAAAAAAAAGGGGGGGGGGGAATATATAGGTGGTTTTTTTTTTAAAGAAAACAGCTGTAATCCCCTGGCTTTCCTCCTCCCTCTTCTTCGATGGGGAGGGGAGGGAGGCTGCGAAAAGGAGCCTCCAACGTGGCCGAGCGAGGTAGCAGGTCCACGGAGACGTGGCTGTGGAGCAAGCGGGCAAACCACCACCAGCAGAAGCAGCAGCAGCAGCAGCAGCGACCGAAGGCTGGCGGTGGGGGCTTTTCTGCAGTAGAAGCTCCGGCGGCGGCGGCGGCGGCGGCAGCCTCCAAATAAGGAGGCGTTTTTCGGGGGGAGAGATGGTCGGTCGGGTGGGATGTACGGAGTTCCTCTCCGCTGCCAGCGAGCAACGCCGCCAACGCCGCTAGCCAGCACGTTGCTTGGAAATGGATCACCTAGGAGAGAGGAGGGGCGAACAAGAGAGAGGTGCTGAGAGAGAGGGAGGGAGGGAGGGAGAGATGCTGAGGGGAGGGAGGGAGGGAGAGAAAAGACAGAGAGAAAGAGAGAGGGAGGGAGGGATGTAAGTGAGGGGGGAGAGAGGAAAAGACAGGAAAAGAGAGAGAGGGAGGGAGAGATGCTGAAGAGGAGAGAAATGCTGAGGGGAGGGAGGGAGGGAGAGAGAAAAAAGACAGAGAGAAAGAGAGAGGGAGGGAGGGAGGGATGCTGAGGGGAGGGAGGGAGAGAGAGAAAAGACAGGGAGAGAGAAAGAGGGAGGGAGAGAGGGAAGGAGAGATGCTGAGAGAGAGAGAAAGAGGGGGGAGAGAAAGAGAAGGGGAGAGAGATACTGAGGGGGAAGAGAGAGAAGAAAAGACAGGAAGAGAGATGCTGAGAGAGGGGGAGAGAAAGAAGGAGAGGAGGGAGAGAGGGGAGAGAGGGAGGGAGAGGGGAGAGAGGGAGGGAGAGGGAGGAAGGGAGAGAGAGAGAGAGAGAGAGAGAGAGAGGGAGAGAGAAGGGGAGGCTTCCTGACAACTGCCTTTTCCTTCCCTCCTATCGGGAATAAGGAGAAATCATGGAACATCTCTTAGCATAGCTAGACTTGAAAGCACATCAAAAAGGACCTCAAGTTTTTAGAAAAAAACCATGCCAAAGCCCAGGCAAAGAGACAGGAATAATGGGACATTTCCTTGTGTGGTGGCTGTATAAGGGACCAGGAGAGAAGGTAGATGCCACCTCGGGCTGGATAATCTTGTCCCTGGCTCCTCCAGTAGTTCTCTAGTTTTGAAAAGTAAATTAGGGCATTGCTTAACAAGGTTAAGGCAGATGTGTGAGTGGGGGGAGGATGGAGGGAGATCAGGGACGCCTGGTTTCAAAGGGAGGCAAATATTAAAAGCAAAGAGCTATTAATACAAGCCTAATTATTGAAGGCTTTGATGGGAATTGCTCGCAAATGACTCTTAATAAGCCCAGAAAGCCACCCCTGGGAGAAGGGGAGAAGGATAATGGTGCGCTGACAGAAAAGAGCATTTTGGTCCTAAAATCTTAACCTGAATAACCTTTAGCTGAAGTCTGAGTGATGGTGTAGGAGGACATAATTTTGTGACATACTAAGGACTGACATCTAGAATATCTGGGGCTATAGGGATGGCAAGTCTAAGCTCCTTTTGCTTGGGAGAGGTGGAAAAATTGTGTAAATTGGGGAGAAAGGAAATAGGATTAACCAGGGATGATGTAGCCCTGAACATACACGTCAGGACAGTTCGGTTAAAAGAGCCCTGGATGTTCTCTGATGACTTTTGAAGAAGAAGATTTTTTTTATTATTCAGACTAGGGAAAGTCTGTTGTGTTACCACTCAAAATAACATAAAAGTGCTTTGAGGTTCCAATCTAACAACAAAAATTAACTTTAGCCCCGAACTGAAAACATTCTAACTTGGTACAAGTTTCAGAGTTTATCAATCCCATGTAGAAATATAACAATTTATATGGGCTGCAAAACCAAGTATATCAGTAAAAGGAGGCAGAAAACTACAGGGCAGAGAGCACTGTCTTTGTCACTTTGTGGGTTAATAATGAAAGAGGACATCTTTTCAAGTCAGAAAAGCAGTTAACTGTGGGGAATTTCTAGTCTGCTAAATCTTTCTCCTATTAAGGAGCTGTCAAATTGAGTATCAATGAGTACAAGATAGTAGTCAGCGCTGCAAGCAATTGGAAATCTCTCTTGGCTCTAGAGAGGTAAAACAAGCGACGTATATACACAAGAGTTTACCCTGCATAAATTATAAAGGTGGTTTAACAGAATAACAGAGTTGGAAGGGACCTTGGAGCTCTTCTAGCTTAATGGGGAGGCGAGAAACCCTATGCCATTTCAGACAAATGGTTGTTCAATTTCTTCTTCCAAACCTCCAACGTTGAAGCACTTCTGCAGGCAAGTTGTTCCAGTCGTTCTAACTATCGGGAAATTTCTCCTTAGTTCTAGGTTGCTTCTCTCCTTGATTAGCATCCATCCATTGCTTCTTGTCCTGCCCTCAGGAGGGGATAGGTTGATTCCCCTCTTCTTTAGCAGCCCCTTAGATATTGGAACACTGCTATTATGTCAGCCTAGTCCTTCTTTTCATTAAAGGACCATGTTTCTCCAACAATACGGCCTCCACCAATAGGAAGGCCCAGCATGATTTCTAGGCATGAGGTGAAATTAAGCCCCACCCCCAAAATTTAGGCCTATTTAATCCTTGTGTTTCCCTGCCATTTCTCACACGGTTCGTTAGAACTACACGAGGTGAAGAGAAATGGGAGGGAAGGGTGGGGGTGGTTGGGTGGGGAGAAAACTTGCCTTTAGGAGTGCCCTGCAGGTAGCCTAGGCTAGAATACCCAGATCTACCGATAGAACATCAGCCAATAGAAGCTCCCCGAAGGCAGAGTCCCTAGCCGCTTCGGGGCGAGACATGGCTGCCCGTGTCTCCTCACTCTTAGGCAGTGTCTTTTGGGTGATGGAAGCTCCCCAAGGGCAGTCACCAGCCACTTTGATTGGCTGGTAGAAGCGGCCTCGGGGCGAGCGCGCACACACACTCCTCTTGCCACGAGGCCGTTTCTATTGGCTGACGAAAGCTTCCCGAAGGCAGAGTCCCAGGCCACTTCGGGGCGAGGTGTGGCTGCCCGTGTCCCCTTCCCATTAGGCAGTGTCTTTTGGGCAATGGAAGCTCCCCAAGGGCAGTCACCAGTCACTTCAATCGGCCGGTAGAAGCGGCTTCGGGGTGAGCGCACACGCACACTCCCCTCACCGCAAGGCCACTTCTATTGGCTGATGAAAGCTCCCTTGAAGGCAGAGTACCAAGCCTCTTTGGGTCAAGGTGTGGCTGCCTGTGTCCCCTCGCCATTAAGCATTGTCTTTTGGGTGATGGAAGCTCTCCAAGGACAGTCACCAGCCACTTCGATCGGCTGGTAGAAGCGGCCTTGGGGCAAGCACCGCGAGGCCGCTTCTATCAGCGGATCAAAGTGGCTGGTGACCGCCCTTGGGGAGCTTCCATCACCCAAAAGACAATGCTTAATGGTGAGGGGACATGGGTAGCCATGCCTCACCCTGAAGCATCTGGGGACTCTGCCTTTGGGGAGCATTCATCGGCCAATAGAAACGGCCTCGTGGAGAGGTACGTGCGTATGGGCTGCTCTAGGTGGGGGAGGAAATTAAGTCACCCCCGAAAAGACAGCCTAGCCATTTTTTCGGGGCTCAAAAGAAAATAAGGCCCGGCCTTATTTTGTGAGAAACTCAGTAGACATACCCAATTCCTGCAATGTTCTTCATATGTTTCAGCCTCCAGTCTTCTAATCATCTTAGTTGCTCTTCTCTGTATTCTTTCAACAACTTTTTTATATTGTGGCAACCAAAACTGAATTCAGTATTCCAAGTGTGGTCTTACCAAGGCATTATAAAGTGGTATTAAGACTTCACATGATTTAGCATCTAAGGATTATGTTCCATCATGGAAAATGTGAGACCCAAATTTAAATGACTGACAGCAATCTCTCCCCTACATACAAATACAAATACATGAAATATGAAAAAAGCAATAGAATGTATTTATAT